CACGTCTAGAAACCACATCGGACTCAGCCCCGGAGAGAGATGGCACAACTGGGACTCATCTATCCTAGAGTGAAACGCGCTGCCTTGGCAATTTTGCAATTTTGTGTTGAAAGCCCTAAAAAGAAAAGGTGGCGACGTATTTGGACCAAGACATGGCTGAGCAAATATGGCTACTCCGGTTTGTCAATTTTACAGAAAGAACTCCATTTCACTCGCACTCCCGCCATGCTTCTGTGTTTTCATCTGAGAGGAAGAAGAAGAGTCCTTGTTTGCGCATGCGCACTGAGCGCTTTGTCAACGACGACTGACAGAAAATCAAACATGTTTGATTTTCTCCTGACCTCACGATTCCTGATCGGGAGGTGGTGATCGCTAGTCGTTACCCCCTGTACACTACACAGCGCACAACGCACGATCAGGCTGAAAGTCGGCCCGATCAGAAAATACTTGCACGAATGGAAAAGGGCAAAAAATCGCACAGTGTAAGCCCGGCTTAAGCTAACTTAAATCTTACAGCATCCCTATGCACTTCAAACCTGACAACACCCTGAGACAAAAACTGTTTCACCCCAAAGACAAGACACTCAGAAACAAGACCGACAACGTGGTTTATGCCTTTCAGTGTAGTGAAGAGTGCACAGAACTTTACATCGGAGAGACCAAGCAACCACTAAACAGGGACATGGCTTAACACAAGAGGGCCAACTCAAGGAGGCATATAACCAAAACAACTCTGAGGAGGGATTTAACGACCCATCAGAACCCCCTAACGACCATTAACACCCCCCATCTGACCTCTCAATGCTCCCCACCACTAGTTAGAACTGAAGAAGCCTCTCGCATGAAAGGCGAAACATCTTCTAGAAAACTTCACGTCCAGTTGCCTAGACTGAATTTTTATAAGCTTGACCATGACCTGGATGACGGAAAATCTTCACAGATACTTTAAATCTTAGTTCTACTATATATTGTTCTACTATACTTCAATTGTATAATAAGGCGATCCTCTGTGCAGTTGGTTGTGAGTAACATGAGAAAATGCACAAGGGTAAAATAGTAGGAATCCTTTTAAAACAGCATTCAATATAAAGCATTATGACTCTAGGCCTCTAAATTATGTTATTTGTTATTTAGTTATCAGTCTGAAGATGTATAAAAACACTGCCTCAATTTTAAAAAGAATTTCTGAATGTGTGGCAAGGATACAGGGAGATCAATTCAGCCATGGTTTCCTGACAATAGGTTTATAACCTAAATATGCATAAAAATTTCCCTTTTGTTGACTTTAAACACTAAAGATTCTATTGGCGTTTACCAGAGCACCGTAGCAAACCTGTGGGCACAATTTTGATTAAGGATCTGAATTAAGGTCTTCAAAGAGCCAGGCTGGAGACCTCATGTTGAGACTTCATGCAAGCTGTGTGGCTCTCTCCATGAGCCTGTCTGTCAAAGCAAATGGAAAGCAGCAGGGCTTCTGCTGGTGTTGTTTAGCAAAAATAACTGTATATTTTGGCCTACCTTAATCCACCATCCCTGGTCCACAGAACTTTCTCGAATACCACTTGAGACAATGAAAGTTCCAATATGTAAATATAGCAGGCTAACAAAAAGAAAAAATAAGCAGAAAGAGCTTAGAGACATGCAAACCTTCTTAAGTAGAGTATTTCTTTTTTCTTATTGTAATCTCACCATAAAAAACTTTTTTTTCTAATGTTCCTGTTGTCAGAATGAATTGATGAAGCAGGCTGTGGATTGTCATGGTCTATGGACTTTGTGTTCTGGCTTGAATATTGTGTTTTGGATTCTGATGTGGTCATGTTCAATCAATATGTTCCAGTTACAAATCTTACTTTTTGGGTGTTTTTTGTTTTTTATTTCACTCCTGTTCTGTGTTCAGTTAGTTTCTGTTGTTACTCTATGTTCTAAATTCTATTTAACTTTATTTCCTATTTTCATATGTTGCTAAACTTTTGCATTTGCACGTAGTGTTCAATCATGTATTCTGCCAGGATTGATTTTGTTGATCTTCTACAGCTGGGTTTCATTGTGCTGATTAAATCTGCAAGTATTTAGTCCTCTTTGTTTCCTCTCCTTACTGCCAGATTGTCCATGTGTCTAGATGTAATACTCGCTCATTCTGTCTACTGAACAAATAGCCTTGAAAAAGTAAAAATTTCCTTATAACACTTTTACATATTTTGGGGAACTATATTTTAAAAAAAACTATAAAGACATGCATCACTGTAGAAATAAAATGTATGTATTTCATTTGTAATTATGTGTCATGTTCCTCTTGGAGACACTTAGTTGCATTTATTCAAAACTTTGTAGAGTTTTTGCATTAAGAGAAGTATTTCTATCTCAGAATCTCCACAAGGGTGGATCCAGGGTCCATAAAGACAAAAATAAAGCAAACACAGGTTTTCAAAAGAAAACCCATTTATAAAATGAAGAGGGTTACAGACAAGCCTGAGCATCCTCTCAGGCTGTTATATAGCCACAGATAACCTTAAGGCAGAGGTTTCTCCAGAGTTGCTGTAATATATAAACTGCATTTACCCATCCCCTTAGGAAGCAGTGGGCTGCCATTGTGCGGCACACAGGAGCAGTGTGAGGTTAAGGGTCTTTTGCTCAGGAAGCCAGAGTGGCAGTCTGTGGGTGTGGGGCTCAAACTCAGAAGAGCAACGCCCTAATCACAAGGCCACCACTCCCATGAAGGGTTTTGCCTAAGGACCCACACTGGAAGCTCATTCCCCCCAGCTGGGATACAAAACCAGGCCTCTAGGCAGGACGGGTGACTTACCACTTGAGTTAGCTAGCTGCAAAAAAACTCCTATAATATGAGTAAAGACATTTGTTTTCCTTCGCGATTAAGACATTTTTGAGTCGAGTTCAATTAGGTTCAATTTAACTGAACTACGACAAGCAAGAAAGCCTTAGAAGGAGATCCAGAAAAGAGTTAATGAAGGCCAATCATGGGTCATCCAGACAAGGGATAGGGGTGGAGCAGCTCTGGCAGCACAGGACATGGTAACCCACAGAGCGCTAAATAGGTAGTTAGAGCCCACAGAAGAGCACTGGAGACTGGTCCATATGATATTGGAACACAAAACGAAATGGAGACAGAGCTGCTGGGAGCCAGAACCTGCTGAGAAGATTTGGAGAGCATTGCAGGAGCTTCAGGAATCCATAGGTACATTTTTTATAAAGCTTTGAAGAACAGCATGGAAGCCCAAAAACGCTTGGCAGAGCTGATTAAGTGGAGTAATTGAAAGTAGAACAGAAGATTCAGATTGCAAAAATATGATGACGAGTCAAGGGTGCAGATATTGAAAATGATGATGAGCAAGAGGTGCAGATGACACTTGGATCTTTGAACAGGATGAGGATCAAGGGATTGAAGCACAAGCCTGCAGGGTGGGATCCTCTGAAGTTAATGTAATCTATGGCAAGAGGAGATGCTTAGACAAGTGATGGAGAAGACTGGAATGGGGTTGAGGCACAAAGCTTTACTAACCTTCATGGAGAAAGATGGAAGTGGTGAGAATAGGTTCTGACTTAAAGGCAGCAAAATAACACTGACATCCTCACAGACAGTCTAGTGGTCTGCCATTAGCAGATGGAGGTACAACAGTAATGCTATGGGGATGGTAGCCAAGTTAAAATCCCAGAAAGGCAGTGGCAGCTCCATAGTCCTTGGATCTGAGCATATTTTCGACCCCTCTCCACCAACAATACTCCCAATAAAGTTAAAGTCTATTCCAAGAATATGGATTTTTTATCTGGGTGGATCCTTCTGTCATATTGAGTTGGATGGGTTAAAGACCAAAGTGCAGAAAGGAACATGGAATATGCATGATGAAGATTTAATTCTAATTACAAAGGGCAAACCTTCAATAAGACAAGAGATGGAGCTCTGGTAGAGTGGAAGACAGGTAACAGTGACAGGGATAATGACGGGAAACAACCTGAGGATCCAACGGACTAAAATGATGAAGGGGCAACTTAAACACTGAGCAAAGGCAGAAGGTCAGCAGAGAGACTGAGGGAGGCCAATTCACTAAGCGGAACTAAGACAACAGGAATCAGTTAACAAAGATGAAAAAACAAATACTGACCTCTGGCAATAAAGTACAATACATAGGAAACAGAACACATGAAAGACTAAACTTACTAAAAGAAACTCAAACACCTGTGGAATATAATATATGACTTTTGAAAAGTGGACAAATACATAACCAAACTGTACTGTCTGTTCTGCATGGATTACTGCAAATTTGAAAATTGAAAATCAAACTTCTGGAAAAAGATTGAATGAATTACTTCCATATAAACATGTTTTTTTTGTTTTTGTTTTTTTGTTTTTTATTTCATCGATTTCTGTTGACTTTAGCATAACACTCTCTCAACCTCTTAGACTCTTTCTTCTGCAAGAAACAAGTAGCATCACTAAATTTATAACTGGCATTGTAATGATAATTGCAGTGCCAGTTTTTTACTTTATTACTTTAATAAGCTAATATTCACATCAGTCCAAACAACTTTTTACAATGTTAGTCTTTTGGGTTTAGATTCTTACTCCATTTCTTGTGTTCTGTTCCCAACATATGTATTTATTACTCTGACACTATTTGTATAGTTCAGCTCTTTCTCTTTTAATTAGTCTCCCTTGGTTTCTCTACTTACCTTTTGCCTCAGCTGCTCCTCATTAAGTCCAGATTGACACACCAGCCTCCAGAATTTTCTCCTCAATCATTAAATTCAGCCATATTGCAATAACATTTAAATATGGATGCTTACAAATGCACATCATCTTTTTTTATGTATTAACCTTTGTAAGCCATTGATCTATTAAATACAACCCCCTCCCAAAAAAAACTTTTAGATTTTGTGTAACATGACCAATATTTTAAAGTTCAAGAAAGACTGTAAAAGCTTTTAGATTAAGGTAATTTTCATTGATTCTTTGTCAAGAGATTAAGGGTGTTCGTTAACTTTACCTGTAAGGAGATTCAGGATCAAAGCAGGTCTTAAGGACATCTGTGACGTCTGGATCACAGCAGTCCCCATCATCGTAGTCATAGTGAATGGTGTTGCACTCCATGTCACAAACCCCATCCTGTCTTTTCCAGTTATAACAGTGCCCTAGCCTGAGGCAGTCACCTCCATCATGGCCGGTCCTTGGGTGGTCACATTCGGCGTCACACTGCCGGTTCCCAATCTTTCCAATTCGACAGTTACTAAGAATGAATCTCTTTCGAAGGCTGGAGTTTTTCACATTGTGGACACTTAGCTCCAGGGTGATGTTGTAAGGCCGAAAGGCCTCATTTAGAGCCTGATGCTGGGCCTGGATCTGGGCTGGTGTCACAGTTGGATTCCCACCGTCATCGTCTGAGAGATTGACAATGCGGTAGCGAATGTGTTTGGGGGTGCGAAGCTGCCAGTTGTTATTGTAGCCAGAGATGATGTCTGTGTTGTCGCAACTTGTCAGGCCACATGCTGGTGGGAGGAAGGAGGAGACAAGCTCTTGCTCTGGTACAGGAGTGGTGATTACATTTGGATGAAGGGCAGCTTTGTATGGAGTCCACAGTCGGTCCACCTTAAAAACAGATGCAGTATGTAAATATTTCGGTTACATTTTATCCTGTGTATGAGACATGTTCCGGAATGAATTGACATTATTTAAATGTAACTTTAGCTTTTTAGATCTGTTTTGTAATGTATGAAAAGACTTAGTTGTTTGTGGGTGAAGGACAATATATTTGTTTATTTACATTAGAGAAATCCGCCCACATGGCCAAAACCGGTTCATTTAAGTCGATTTGAAGTGGTGGTTTCAGTAGGTCCTCATGCGAGCGAGCATAACCCCACAGGATCACTCCTCCAATATGGCCTCTAAAGCTCTGACCCAGATCAGACTGTTTACTGCCAAGAAAAAGAGTCCTGCAAGTCTGCATGAAGGGACTGTAAAGATCCCCAGACTGGAGGCCGCTTTCTCCCATCTACGAAAAAAAAAAAAACATTAAAAAAATAAAAAGACATTCAGAGGTTAGGGATAAATGTATTTTAATTTCACATTGCATTAATATTGGAAAAAATATCAAGTTACAAGTTTTCAGAAAAAAACATTTCTGGACAAAAGCTTAAACACATTCAACATCCAAAAGATTGAAAATAAAATTTTGTGTTAAAAGTTCCAATGATGGTAATGCAGGAAGGGTTTAATAAATAATTTCTGCCTGAAAATAAAAAGGAGAGGAACTCAGGTCTTTAAGCAAACTTTAGGTACCTGTCTACAGGTGACACACAAAAGTATTTTTTTTCCTTAGTAGGGTTAAATAACTTTAAACAAACTTTTTTTCTTATCTCTGAGGAATAATTCATAAAGAGTGAACCACACAACTGAAAACACTCATTTGGACTAATTGTAAAATTGCTATCATTATTTTTTACAATGCTCATCAAGCTTAAGAACAGCATAAATGACCCACCTTAGCCCCATCTACATACAGGGTCATGTTGTAACCATTGTATGAGGCCATCAAATGAGTCCAGACATTAGCCCGGTACCGCTGGTGGCTGTAGACGGTTGTGGATTTCACAGCTCTGTCCGTGCGAAGCGTGAAATAGAACCGTGCATCTTTGGTGCCGCCTGGTTCCAAGGTGCGAATGCCAACCGACCAGCCCTTCTCGCTCAGTGAATACGAGCAGTTGTCAAACACACCTATGGGGTAGGGAGAAAGTTATTGAACCTTAGAATAATCCCTAGACAGCAAATGTTCTTTCACAACAAGAAAAGTCTGTAAACGAAAACAAATGAATGCAACTTTATGCAATGAACGATGGAAGCGATATATTCACAGACAACGATAGAAGACACAGAGCCAAAGACGGTAGAAGAAGAATATTGAAGGGAAAGAAAGACAGGGACTTTTTAAGTAAAGCAAGGAAATGCCCTGATGTTTCCATCTGCTGTTGCAACAGTCTCAGACACACATCTGCTCTCCAGATGTCAAACAACTGGGACAGGGAAGGGTCAGGGAACCCCTTCACCCTCCACAGTGTTGTACGCATGATTGTGAAAAGTAAGATACTACAGCGGCATGTTCGGATGGATTCAAGCCAGTTTAGGTTACTCCCATATATTCAGATGATCAGATTTATAAAGCCTATTAAGTCATAAAGTATATAATCAAAAACTGCTACTATGTGGTGGGACCGTGCCATAAAAGGCACTCTAAAGCAAATATTGTCACTTTAAGCCTTGCATGACCAGACACGTAGGTCATCCCTTGGGAAAGATCTGTTAAAAAGTTTTACAGTGCAGTGGATGTATTATTGAACGGCAAACAACAGGAAGAGGGTGTTGTTTTTGAAGTGGTTCATGCAACACCAGATGAGAACATTTTATTTGAAATGCAAAAACAACAAAGTTTATGTTAAATCTGTTCTTAATTTGGAGAGACATTTGCACTACCAGGCATTATCATGATCATTACACTGAACCAAATCAGATGCTGATGTTTTAAAGCTGTATTTATTTTGGATGCAGGCCACCAAAGCACTGGTGGACGTGTTACCAAACAGTTGACTATTTACACATTTTGCAGCTGGGCCTAATTTTGTTTGTAGCTACTCCAATATTAGCTTCGCTCCAACTCTCAAAAGGAAATCTTGGTTCTTTTTGTTGCTAAACGTTCTGCTGTGTTCTCCAGCTTGATCCTTACTTAGTCTGACAGCTGTTTGCTCGCCGGCTCTTTCGTGTGCAGTTTGAGAAGAATTGTTTTTTAGTCCTCATATTCAGTGCCTATATCCAACATATCAATTAGGTATGCCCAATCTCATTAAACGCAGGTGAATTATACTTGGAAATGCAATTAGATGTGCAGATCCTTAACCCCCGATTGCTCCCTGGGCTGCCCCATGATGGCAGCTCACTGCTCCCCAAGGGGATGGGTTAAAACAGAGGTAAATTTCTCTAATGTGAGATCAATAAAGTTATATTACTTTATAATTTTTTATTAGGGTTTATTTCAAAATAGTTAATAGCATCGTCCAAGCTTCTTTAAAGTACAGCAAAGTCTGAAGTTTTGCATTGTTCCAATTAAACAACTGAAGAAGCTTGACATATTGTTACTTAATTAAGCAACGCGTAAAATCAGTTGAAAATGTTGGCATATCATATTAAGTTAAAAAACAGTCAATGTAAACACAGAACTGCATCCTTTATGACAAGTTACGGCATGCCTGTGAGAGCAAGACTTTTAGCAGATAACAGGAAGGTTGAAGAGAGCCCAGCAAATGGTTTCTGTGTTATCTCATCAAACTTTAAACCTCTGTCATGCAATATGAAGGTGGAAACGGCAGCCTTCTGTAAATCCCAGAGGTGACAATTTGCATTTGCTGGTTAAAAACAAATCACTGTGGTAGCTATGCTGGCCGCACTCTAGACATGATGCTGTAAGATGCAAACGACAGCGTCCATACCTTAGTATAAATTCACTGCTTTCTCAAACATCATCTTTAAAAAAAAGCAATGACCTCTTAAAATCTGCACAAACTAGAATCTGCTAAGCTTTACAACAAGCAGAGATGAGAAATCATTCACAAAATTTCTTATAGGTGCACCTCCATTATCAGTGTGGTAAAACTAACCATTTAAGGATCATCAGAAGTCAAGCTGGTGTTGGTCTTGTGTCTGCCAGACACAATAGGAAGTTGTTTTTCACTGTATTTGTCGTATTTCTTCAGGGCACTACAAAGAGAAGGGCCCGTGCCACAGAAAAATGCTGCTCTAACATAAGGAAGCGATGAGAGGGAAATAGTTGACTAATGCAATAGGATCTTTGATCAGAGTAAATGTGAGTGGACATAACATTTTGCGGTCTCCCTCTCTATCTGGACAGCTGCAGTGTTGCACCCCAGCGCTTTTATCCTCTTTAATTTGGTTTATGTATGTGTTTGTCTGTCAGGCGGGGCAGATTTTTAAATACAGTACATTCTTCAAGCTGGAAAAAAAACAACAGATATTTTTTCATCATGTGAAGAGGAAGCTTCCATTGGATCAGGGTGTTTGTAGCGCCACTTTAATGCATTTAAATTGCTTACTTAAGAAAAGTCTGTGGAGGAAGCATGAGTGAGACGGACTGAACGTTTCTGGCTCTAAAATGTTAAGTTATGGTTGTTTTTAAAAAATATATATTTTTCAGTCTGGAAATATGCCAAGGTTATGAAAAACACAGAGAGCAGTGGTATGGAAACTTTAAGAGCTTCACCTATGACTCTTATTAAACTACGGTCGAAAAACTAAGCACAGCATGACTCATAAAAATGGTTCCCATAAGCTACAGCTTCTGACCCACAAATAGTGGAACTGACAAGGGGCCCTTTAACGAGTATAAAGGCATTTCCATTAGGCAGATTCAGTTGGGTTACATTGTCAACACAGCATTCATACTAGAGCAGAAAGTTTCTCATCTATACTTCAAACATTGAACATTTTCAACTGCAGTGTACCTTGTCCCAAAGAATGCATACTACTGTTTATTAGTATGCAAATAGAGAGCTCATGACACATGCAGATATTAATAGTGTGAAGAGTCCTTAGTGGTATTAAAATTACACACATGGATATTGTGATCCTTCTGATGAAGAAAGAATATTGGAACAAATACGAAGCTGTGTGTCTATCTGTCTGTAGTATAGTGTTGATGTGACTCCTGGTATAGGGTCAAAGGAGTTCCTCTGATCGATATAATCTTTTGCTGCTGTAAAACCACAATTTCCCAACTGTGGGACAATAAAGGGATTTTCTATTCTATACATAATCGCTTCTCTTTTATTAGTAGGTTGGATCTTCACACCTAAAGTTGGCAAAATCAAAAATGGACAAGCTCTCCAGCAGATGCTAAAGTCTACACTGGAAAAAAATCTAAAGTCATTTTTTCTTAAAATAAGTGCATTTGTTCTTGGATTGAGGAGGGTAAAGGGACATTTTGCCAATGGAACAAGACAATTTACACTTAAAAGAAGAAAACACAACTGCATTGTCTTATCTCAGGTGAATTTTATCCAATTATCTTATTTTAAGACTAAAAATACTCATTCCATTTGCAAACTATCATTTAACTACTCAAATTAAGGATAAATAGGCTTGGATTAAGATATTTTTACTTATTTCTAGACAATTTTCCAGTGTGCAAATTGCATTAATTAAAATCTAAAATAAAATTTTAAAAAATTATTTCAGCAATATTGTCTATTTTTACACCACATTTTAATAACACAATCTGCACTGATCAATCCTCACATGTAATGTTGCAGAAACCCATCAGAGAGATAATGAATGGTTAGTAATAACTGATTGTAAAATAAGTTTCTAACACAGCTGATCAGCGGTGATGACCCACCTGCAATGACCGCCGGGTTGCTCTGCCCGCCCTCTGCTTTCACCCACAGCTCCACGCTGAACTTGTCCCGTGGCAGCTCCACTCCCTGGGCCAGTTTCACCTTCAGCTGCTCCCGGTGGCCCTTAAAGTAAAGGGCAGTCATCCAAGAAGGGGGCACTCTCGGTAAGGGGGTGCCCCAGCTGTTAAAGGAAGAGTCTGCATCTGTTTCCTCTCCAAAGTAGTCCTCCGTGGCAACAGCATCCTCCAGCGTCCCCGCGGACGCCTGGTTGTCTCCGTCTCTGTCATCTTGCCTCGGTCTGTGGAGGACCCCGTCCGCTGCAGGGATTTCTGGAGAAACTTTCTCCAACCTGGAGTTGTTGTCTTTCTCGCTGCGAAGTTTGACTTCGAGGCTGCGGGAAACCCTGGAGCGAGAGCCAGGAGAAACTCCCTCCGCGCGCCGGGCATCTTCACCGGGATCAACTGGCTCCGTTTCCCGGTGTGCGTAACTGCGTTCATGAAACCGATCGGATAAATCTGGGTATCCTAAATCTTCAGAGTCACCCCTGCCTCCTTCCTCTCTCCCGGCCGGATCGGCCTCCAGCAGCCCGGTGTCAAACCCGCACCCTACGGGACAAACCTCTGGTGCGCCTTTGAGGGTGAAGGGCGAGATCCGAGTGGTGGAGGTTCTCACTGGGGCCGCTGGAGGGCGGTGTTGCGCCGGGGAGAGGGCGCGGGGCTGCCGCCGGGACGGAGAGACGAAGCAGGGTTCACCTGCTGCTGTCCTGGACAGCTCAGCGTCTGCGCGCCGGGCCAAGGAGCGCTTATGCCGGCCGAAGGCATCGGAGCGAACCGGGCTGAGCAGAAAAGTGTTTGTGATGAAAACGAGGAAAACAGGCAGTAGTCTGATCAACAACATTTTCTCTCCAGGATATAAAGGTTGTCTTCTTCTTTTTTCTTTTTTTAAAGTTATCTCTTTGCAAGAGGTCTCACACTGGATTATTTGTGCGCATTTCTTAAGAAATATAACCGAGGATTTTATTTTGCTTAAATTCTTTATATTTAAGATAAACCTGTTTTTAAAAAGATTTCTATAGACTAGCTATATTAGTGTATTCTAAAAAGAAAAATCACTTAAATGATATAAAGATCAAATGTCCTCCAGAAGAATTCCAGCAAACTATACATTTAAAAGTTTAAAAGGACGTTTAGAAGTTTAAAATAGACCTTTGGGTAAAATAAGCAAAGGGAAAGATGAACTGTATTAGGCTACTTTGCACGATAGAAAAACACCGCACTTTGCCTCCTTCCTATTGGTGTCCACTCTGCAAAAATACGAGTCCGCTGATTCGCTTTTTGTTTACATGTAGTCAGAGAAGGTGGGGGGGTGGAAGGGTTGGAGGGGGACACATTAACCTTTCCTTGAGCCCCACAAGCAAAAACCACGCTGTAAAGACGTCACCAGGCTGATTTAGTGCGCCAAAATATCAACAGGGTGATTTAATTGCCCGGTAAGATGTGGCTGCAGATTGTTATCAATATAAAGCTGGTAAAATTAGTTATTTCGTCCAAAAGTCTTTTTTCTTGTTTTCTAAATAGGTCACTACCTCTCGTTTACCTGACCATTGTGCCAACGTTTAGTCCTGCTCCAAAATGTGCCAAGGTCAGTCCGGGAAACAAACTCCAAAAAGAGGAGGGGGGGGGGAGATAACTATACAGTCTCTATGATAGAAACTCTACTTTTAGAGCAACTGCTGTTTGAATTTGAGAGAATAATAATAATAAAAAAAGATCAGTCCATTAAATCACGCGTCAGCTCCTCTTGTGGTCTTGTTTTGCGTCTGTGTGCCACCCAAAGCGCGCCTCACTACTGCTGCTGCTGCACCGGTCCATGTAGTAGTAGCCTAATATCCTCCTTCATTCACTCTTCCATATTCCTCTCTCTCTCACCTCTCTATCTCTCTCTCACCCTTCCCCATTTTAGTCCAAAGGTTTTTATCAGGGAGCCCCTGCCCGTCCTGACATCACCGGTGGTGGAAGTGTGGTGCTGGAGGAGGAGGAGGATGAGGAGGTGGGGTTGGTAGGGGATGGGGGAGGGCGTCTTTGCTTCTCACGTTAGTTTTCTCCACTGCCTCTGTATCCATCTGATTCAGACCAGAGACAGGAAAAAGAGTTGTGAAGGTTATTTATGTAAGGATTCTTATTTTTTTACCTCATCCATCCAGCCATCCATCCATCACCCTCGGGTTGGTGTCCAGGTCCAGATTTAATCACTTTGCACTCCTTCAAAGTAGACTCATTGGGAGCTTTTTGTCATAAAGTATGATATACTTACAGAGCAGTTAATATAAAACTAAAGAAATTAGGCTGAGTTGATGAAGGCAAGGAACAGCTGCAGGACAAGTCAACTATATGTTGCATTCATACATAGAGCAATTCAAAGTGTTTCATATTGGATCAAAGCAAATGTAATCCAGTTTAATCATGAAATCCTGGTTTGAAAGAAACATGTTATGATAAAAAAAAACATCCTTGTTTAAACTGGAGGCTTATTTCGAATTGGACTTAGACAACGTTATTGTCATTTCCGTTTATAAAGTGCAGCAGTGACCAAATGGGAAACAGTTTAGGAGAGACATGGTGCAAATGGCATTGATATGGAAGGTTCAGAGCAGTGCAAAAATAAATAAATATGGTGCAAAATGCAGTAGAACACTGAGTTGAATGCTATTTAAAGGGATTTGAAAAATTTGCCATGTAGTCCGTAATCTTTACAGTATGATGCATAGTCTCGATTTTGTGACTTGATTGGAGTTTTCAACAGTCTTACGGCAGCAGGGAGAAAGCTGTTGCAGAACCTGCTGGTCCTGCATCGAATGCTGTTGGCTGCAGGGAGAACGGTCCATGGTGGGGCTGAGAGGAGTCGCTGATGATGTTACGGGCTCGGGACACGCAGCGTTTAGATGAAATTTCTTTCTGTATAAAATATGGATTAAAACATTGTTCTATTAACAAAGGGGGGGAAAGCAAAACAATGACAGAAATCTTTCAAAGAGGGTTGCTTTCAACAAGTTATATAAATAAGACAGTTAAACAAGCTCTGGAAAATATCAAATGCTTCAGGTGTCTTAGCGCTCTATTTCTGAGAGCAGCATACAACAGGGAACACCCTGTTGTATGCTGCTTTCAGAGATCCTTATGCTGAAGCTGGTGATTGCATATCACAGCACCAAAGAAAGTCTGGTGAATGTTGTAAATATATACTACCTATTAGCACTTGTCACAGTTTGTATACCATCAAATTAGTGTATCGTGTAGCAACTTTCATTAGTTTTCCAACTTTCTGCAGTAATAAACTTGGTATCAATCTGTAAAATCAATATAATTTGGTAATTTGGCTCTGCTGTTAGCATATAAACAGGTGTGTTTTTTTCTAATTTATAAAGATTCAGACATTAAAGGAGCATGTTTACACAGAGGTGAGGTGCAGCAAAGTTTTGATAACTACTGAATAATAGTAAATAATGAAAACTTTTGGCCGCTTGGCAAATCTGGCCTTTACAATCAAATTCCCAAATTGAAATGGAGTTTTTGCTGTACGAAGATTTCAGAAATCACACCACAGAAAGCACTTAACTTAGGTGTAAGATTATCCCCAGATTTCCTTCTGACATCCAAAATCAAACAAATGCCCCATAGGACTACACATCGCCTAATATGTGCATGTGCTTTTCTCCTAAAATAGTCCTGAATTATGGTAAGTAGGCAATCATTTACAACAAAATGATATATTATCTTGAATAATATAGTTAGTGTTATCAAACAAAGAGGTAACTGAGCAAAGTAACTCCTGGCAGAAATGTTGAAAATCAAGTTTAAATAAAGCACAAAAAATGTGCTGATGGGTGAGTAAGTATCACCAGTAGACGGCAACATCATAAAACAATGATGATGATTTCTGCTCCTTTTGCCCAGTGCAGAAATTCTTTTCAGGTTCAAGAAGGAGTAAGTAAACAATATAAGGAGGAACACAGAGACGCGCTGTATGTAGGCTACTGCATATATCCAATGCACCTTTTTTCTTCCTTTGGCACCTTCTTCTTCTATTTGAGCTGATGTAAAGAGTAAATTTCTCCACTGCGAGATCAATAAAGTCCATCAATCATCACATAGCATGTATTAATTTACTTTAATGGAAACAGGTGGTTTTGGGTGTAGACACCCTCATATTCTAAAGAATGATTTTGATCAGTTTAATTCACTGCCTTTTATCTGCGTTAGGGTGTGAAATGGTAAACATAAAAGTTGCTAATAAAAATACATGTTTTTAGATCATTTTGCATGTTTGATTGGTTCCTCTCTTGCTTTGAAGTGAATTTCTTTAGTGTTGGCTTCAGAAACTCAGTTTCAACCATCAGGCTCTAATCGAAGTAATATTTGATCTTGTGGAACTTCATCCTGCTTGCATCACTTTGTTTCTGTTGGCATTGTTTTCCTGTTGTTGTTAGTCAAGGTGCAGTTGGTTGAAGTACTTGGCATTCTGCTCTGCTGTTTGATCAAAAAATGGGTTAGAGTTCGAGGGATGAAAAATATCTTCTCAAAATGCAGTTAAACACAAATTGGAGTAATGCAAAGCTCCGCTGTCAACATGTAATGGATGATTGTTGGAGGTGGCTCAAATACAGATGGAAGAGGGGGTTGCAATTTTCTTTCAACCAAATCCATCTCTTACCTTTTGTCTTTTCTTCCTGTTTGTCTGTTCTCTTAATCTATCTCTCTCCGGCTCTGGCTCGCTGCAGCGGTACAACTCAGACAGACACAACATCTGTCCTCCACATGAAAAGCTTTCTTCCAAAATATGCTACCCCGTTTAAGCTGAGCTCTTTTTTTTTCTGCTATGATCCAGGGTTAAAAAATAAGTAAATAAAAGAACGGCTGGGAGGAGAGCAGCAGCACAGGGGGACATGGAGAAATGATGTGCATTGAATCGATCAACTGAGATTATACTTAATATCTATGGATTTTCAAAATAGCAGCTTTCATACCTGATAGACCCTCAGAACTAAGGAGGAAATATCTTAAGAAACAGACAATGTGGAGTTTATTTTATATATATATATAAAATATGTGATTTGTGTTAATTTTTTTATTTACTTAAACTCTAAAGAAGAGTTGCATTGACATTAATACTTTGACTGATCTAAATATAGAAATTTAAATATAAAATTGTATGTGTGTTATCCAGGTTTAATAATTTGCGCTGCATATATTACATATTGTGGGATTATTTTCTTAATTTGTCTTCATCCTATAATTTTACCCATTTAGGGTAACCTGGTCGAACCGTTTGTAGCGCGTCGGCAGCACATCAACAAGGTCTCTACAGGTAACCAGGCTTCCTCTCACACACATTAAAAGAATAAAAATAAAAAATCCCATGTTAGGTTCTTTGGAAATTCTAAATAACCTTAGGATGTATGAATAGTTAATTGTTCTGTTTTTCTTTGTGATGGACTGGAAAGTGTTCAGAACTGCCCATTTTTTCTCCTGTATGCAACAGTCTTATAAAGATTAAGCAATCAACATGTTCAGCAGTTTTAAACATGTGCACTATCAATTTAACTGCTGACTTTTGTTGTTGGGGTTTTTGTTTTAAATCCCCCTTACATGTGCACTATTTGTTTGCAAAGTGTTCTTCTTATCAAGTAATGTGAGCAAGTTCCATTGGTTTTCCAATACTCTCCTTCTTGGTGATAACTAAAAAAAAATAAAAAATAATGCTCCCATAGGTTGTTGTTGTACACTCTATATAATGTTGTCACTTATTTTTCTTCCCCTTAGACCTTGTTTTTTTTTCTTTGTCAGGCTCAATTTGCAAACAGGCCCCTGGCTGGAGATTGAGATGGCGGAGAAGGCCACTGGCAGTTATGGTAGGGGCCCCTGAAGGGGCAAAAAACAGTTCCTAAAAACTGGGAGGCAGGAATTCCTCAATCCCAGCCTGCCTGACGGAGGGATCTGCCTGCTACACTTAGTTTTGAAATCCAGCTGCAACTGTGCTGGGTGGCGCATAAAGAAGAGACTGCGACAAAAAAAAGGCTTGAAGGGTAAAGTTTAAAAAAGGAAAAGAAGGAAAGAGATAGAAGGGGGTTCAGGGTCTGAATAGGTGAGCTGCACTGGGGCCCCACCACCCACTGCAAGGGACCTCCGCAGATTATCCTTCATCCCAGCTTGTCCGTATGACCTCAACAACCCCGAGGCCTGTTCTCTGTCTTACCCCTTTTCCCTCACTTTCCTTTCGACACAGACACTCACACAAAAACACACGTTTCTCTCGTACCTCTGAGGCCGCTGACCCTCCAGCTCCACCCCGTTGATACCGCCACACAAATTCCCCAAAACACGCACACAGGCGCAACCTGGTTTCTCACACAAAAGAGAGGGGGATCCAGCGGGAGAAAATCTAGGCTGATGTGCAGGGCAAACAAGGAGGGGTTTTAATGAGAAAAAAAATGTTCAAGAGGGTAGGCTTTTCAGCTACCAAAACTATTATATAAAAGGGCTGCAGCAGACAAATGCAATGGGATGTACATAGAGCTGCAGGTGCTTGTCTGAATGCAATCAGAGACAGTTTCCTGAATGTGTGGGGCTATTAAGGCAACAGAGAATACCTGCTGTAAAAGTCTGAATTTAAATGCAAGTTAAGTTTTTTTCCCCCCTACTTTTTTAAATAAAGTCTCCCCTTGAATGTTTTCAAATGAATCCTTGAGAAAGATGTGTGCCACGGTGGTCCTTTTCATAAAAAAAAACCTTTGCTTTTTTCCTGTTACTAAAAAACAGAAAAAGTTCCATATTGATACATATAAACCTCTTCCACAAACAAAAACAGGGGAAAATCCAGGTTGCGCAGGCCTTCACGGAGGACCCCCTTGTTTGTTCACGTTGAGGTAATGATGGAAAAACAAGTAAGCCGGCAGGATGCCGCTAAGGTTTTATTTGCAGAGCTGCAGGTGGAGGCCTGAAAGACGTGACTCTGTGTTTCTTGGCTCTTTAGCTCACCGGACTTTGTGAATGAGACCTACCAGCTTGTGCTTTATCTCAAGGCAGTAAAAAGGTTCCCATTCTGGATGTCAAGGTGGAATAAAACAAACAAAAAATAGATTAAGATTACCTTTATTTATTAATAAGAATCCTTTTATTTTTAAATGTAATTCTGTAATGGATCAGGTAAATATAAAAATAGATAATTAAATAGAAATGAAATACCAAATTTGTTTTGATAATTGGGGAGAGAAAGAAAGAAAGAGAGAAAAAGTCTAGATTCTGTGGGTTTTTTTGTTATGATCTGTGCATCATCTTAGCTTAATGCACCCAATTAGTCTGTTGTTTCCTTTTAGCAACCACAGGTGGTGCTAAGAAGACATCGGATTTTCAGCTTATGATTCATATAAAGGGCTGTTTTGATGTTCATTCAGAACTTACATTTGAGCATCACTTTTCAGGAATTCAGTTTAAAGAGCTGTATCTTTTGATCATGGATCAAATGCACAATTTCACTCTTAGTGGACATTCTTTAGAATTGAATGCATGCAAAAAACAAGACAAAATGTTGTTTTATATCTGTAGTTTAGTTATTATGGATAATTCAATATGCAAAAGAAGGAAGTACATCACACCATGTAAAAAAATGCCAGGACTGAATCTTTACATAAATAAACAATGTTTGAGTATATATTGGTGGTTAGATAAATTCAGTCTGGCATTACCATCGTTTTGAAAAGAAAAATCATCATTACTAAAATAACAATAATTATAAGAATGATCAGAAAGAAAAGAATGTTTCTCTTTGCTGTCATTTTTTTTAGGTTCCCCTTAGAATGAAATAAAAAGAAAAGAAAAGTTTGGTGCTTTGGAATAAACAATAAAAGAGAATAAAATGTCACTCATATAATAGATTAGGGAAGAAAATAAAAGAAAAAATCCATCTGAAAAACACTAATATCAATGCAAAACCACTGGTGTTACCTGGGTTGTCTTCCCTGGTCAAAATAAAAAAAAAAGTCCCTTTTAACCTTTTCTTTTATAGGGTAATTCAGAAGCATATTACATCCAAGCTTATTAACCATATAAAGAGGTAAAGATGAACTGTTAAAAAATCCTCTCTTCTTTAAACAGTGTCTCAAAAAACTATTTTAGAGAAAAATATTGTAAAAAAAATCCAAGTTTAAACCAAAGCATGCAACCATGAAACTCTAGAAAACTCTGGAAACTCTTTTTGAGTGCAGAGGACACTCCTAAAGAGCTTCTATGACTCTGTTGTGGCATCAGCCATCTTCTTTGGGGCTGTCTGTTGGAGCAGTGGCTTATGTGTAGCTGAGAGAAAGCGACTGGATAAGCTGATCAGAAAGGCCAGCTCTGTGATTGGATGCCCTCTGGTCTCGGGTGCAGGAGGTGGGAAACAAAAGTACCCTAACTCAAAGAGTTAAAATACAATCCGCTGGACTTTGTTTCCAAGTTTGAAGATGTTTCCCTTCCCACCCAGGAAGCTTTTTCAATTCAAAATGTCAGGAATAGCGTTGAATTCAAGTTGTTTTATGTCTCCCACCCCATGCATAAAGCTGTTGCTGAACTAGAAAGCACCTTCAGCGACAGACTGCTGCACCCTAAATGCACCAGGGAGCGTTATCACAGATCCTTCCTCCCAGCTGCTGTAAGACTCTATAACCATCATTGTTCCCAACAACCTCAATAAGTTGTTACATTCATGCTGATTTTTGCACAGTTTCTGACCTAGTTAGTTTTATAAAATGCTGCCATCAGTTTTTGCTCATTCTGGTGTTGCTGCTATTTTTCACATATCCATTAGTCTAAAAATGTCCACAGCTGTTATCGATTTTTGTCCTCCAGATACAGAGTATTATATTATAAAATGCTGTTCTGTTCAATACTCTGTTTGTTTTATTTTCCTATCTGTTATTTTTATACACTTTTCTGAGGTGCACATTGTGTGACCACTTCTACTATAACCTTTGCTGCTGTAAAAACCACAATTTTCCTATTGTGGGACAATGAAGGGGATTTTCTATTCTATTCTATTCCAATCTATTCTATTCTGAACCAAGAACATATATATCTCTGAAGTTGAAACATTGGTCTGGGAATCAATCCCAAGTGAAACCTGCTCTATTTACAAGTTAGAGCTTTCAACAGTGAAATAAACATTACCATTTAAAGTGCAGCAATGATAATCATGAAAACAGTATAGAAGAAAAGGAAAAGCCATTAAAAAAATAATGGTGCAAAAGGACATTAATATGGAAAGGCAAAATAAATATTGTGCAGCGTTTTTGTTGTTGTTGTTGTTTTATTTATGTTTGATATTCAATTCTTGTTCAACTTTAGAATAAAAATCTTACATAGCTTATAAATAAAAATTGGTCCAATATGGGTAAAACGTCAGCCAAAAACTGGCTTTATATGAGTTTATCCACCGTTGCATATTCACCCATTATCAACTGCCTATATAAGTCTGATTTAGAACTATGGAAGCTAGATGTGCCACTATAAATCGATTTCAGCATGGAGAACCGTACTGAGAAATGTGTCCTGCAAACCTCCATCCCGCCAGGGGGCGGTAGTTGAAAACTAAACGCACAACGACTATAGGTAGTTGAGAGCACTCACTTTCTGTAGCTAATAATACAAGCTAGCCGGGTAATCATCTGTTCAACGCAGTTGGGCTTATTTTAACGTCCGTCCCAGTATTTTTTTGTTTTGTTTTATCGTGTTTCATGCACAGCTGACTGTATGAGGCGTCGTCAGTGAAAACCGGAAGACATATAACCGTTGAAAAGAATTAAACGCGCAGTGTTTGGTCACTGTTGCCTTTCCCCAGGATGCTAGCACATAAGCTAGCTAGCTAGCCCGCAAACCTGCTAAAGCATCTGGCCAGATGATTTGAACAGCACCGCGGCAGATTTTTGGTGGAGTATTTTTAATTTTTGTTTGTTTTGTTTCTTTTGACGGCTTTACAGTATGTCTGGCAGCCGACCACAACAGAGCGGTGGTGGAGTAAGTTCAGTGCCTGGTACCAGCAGCAGTAGTAGCAACAACAACAGCAGCAGCAGCGATGCCGTTACGAGTAACGGGCCCGCTGCTGGGAATCTTGTACCCTCTCGGACACTGGCTGCAACAAGCGGGGGAGGTAGCTTCGCATCCTTAACAACAAGTAGACCATCCGCTTCAGGCAGCAGAAAGAAGTCCCTCCACCAGGCACCCCTGTACAACGGCCTCTTGAACTCATACGAGGATAAAAGCAACGACTTTGTGTGGTCAGTTTCCAATCAAAGTTAACATGAAGCCTTCTGTTTGGGAATGTCATTCAGAGTAAGTTCGAGAGTTGAATCTTAATAGAGCCTTTCTCCCTCTTTTTTCGCCCCCAGTCCCATTTGCTTCGAAATGATAGAAGAGGCACATATGACAAAGTGTGGACACAGTTTTTGGTAAGTCCTAAAAGTGGATTCGAGGTCAAATGGTTAAGTTTCTATCCAGACGTTGTAAATGTATCCCAATTGCATTGGAACAGGCTCGTTTATCTCTAGTTTTTATGAAATCCATAATGCATAAAAGTACATGGTGCTGTTAATTAATTTACAGACTAACACAGGAGAAAGTTCTGAAAGTTTTGATGCGTTTAAAGAATAAGGAAGTAAATGTAATTTTGCAGTATTTGAGCATCAGATCATCAGTCAATGTAAAATGGGCTTATAATGATTCATGTCCTCTACTCTTTATCTTTCTTGTATGTTTACTTGTATGGCTAGGTTTGACATAAGGCATTTCTTATTTGCACTTTAAGATAATGTAGGGGAAGTCCCTGCTAACTTACTCTTTATTGTTTTTGTCAATGTCACCCCTGAGTTTTTAAATTTAGCAACAGCACATTTGCTTTTCAGTACTTGCCAGAGAAAGGATTTAAATTCAAATAACTTTCATAACCTCCAACCTCCTTACATGAAGAATCACTCTTTGTCTTTCTACTTCCTACAGTTTCAAATGTATCCGCCAGAGCTTGGAGGACAGCAACAGATGTCCTAAGTGTAACTATATTGTTGACAACGTGGATCAGCTGTACCCTAACTTTCTTGGTGGGTTTTTTTAGTTGCAAGCATAGCCATACCAATTTTTAGTGAATGCCTTGAGTTTATAATGCATATTTCTCTAAGGTGCTCAAATATAAACATAATATAAAGAGTATTCACAATTATCCAAATATAATTTAAGGCAATCTTCTAAAAAGATGATACTAGTGTCAGATGTTTATTGATCGGTCCCATATTGCATTGTTGATGATGTTTCACATTATAACATCTTCCTTTTTTAATACTCAATTTATTCTCTGTTTTACCTCTTTCCCAATTGTCCAGTAAATGAACTGATTCTTAAGCAGAAACAAAGGTCTGAGGAAAAAAGACTAAAATTAGATCATCCTGTAAGTACAGCTTTGTTTATACCTGCTTTGCTTCCTGCCCTGGATAGTTTGCTTCATCCTCACTGGCTCTAAAATATCACCTTTGCTTTCCCTGACTACCCTCTCTGGTCTTTAGAACTGGCCACGTTGGCAGGTCTTCCAGGACATTTTAAGCCCTGATCAAGAAAACTTGGACCTTGCAAACGTCAATCTGATGTTGGAGCTTTTGGTTCAAAAGAAGAAGCAGCTAGAGGCGGTAAGTGAAAGTGGAGGAAGGGGTTCCTACTGAATACAAACAGATTGGTTACGAGATTTCATGATATGATTTTTTACATATGTGGTATATAAAAATGTACAATGTGCCAGTCTTTCTGCGATTTCTATAAATTAATTAGATGGAAAACAATAATTTTTCAGTAAATAATTAGTGAAACCACATTTGCCATCAAAATAGATTATTTTTTAAATGGCATATAACTGAGTAAATTGTCAGCCAGCTTTATTTATTTATTTATATATATATATATATATATATATATATATATATATATATATATATATATATATATATAAAATTAACATTTATTAAAGTTTATAATTAAATGTAATAGGTTTTAGGTTACGTTCAGCTTTAAATACTTTGGAAAGGTCATAGAATTGCTTGCTCTAAAACTTGGTGCAAAAACACACATCCCCTTTCGCTGTTGTTTTCTCAGTCAGTGTGAAAAGAAAGGAGAAGTAGGTGTCACAGTGTATCCTGTTTACTTTTTTTTGGACGCATCATCATTGTCCAAGAATCTGTTCGATTTACACCAAAAAGAGGAACCTGGGGCCGGTCAAACTCGACAAAATGTGATAGAAATGACAGAAGAGGCTATGTGTCATGTGATATGTGCTGTTGTGTATTTTTATATCGTATTGTGGAACTGGGAAATTAGGACTCTATGACTTGAAAAATTAAGCTTCCATTGTGATCTGTCTTTTTCAATGCTATAGGATTTTTATATATCTAATTTCTTAAGATTCTGAAGCACAGTGTTGTTTAGGCCATTTTTTACTTAAAAGAAATTAGCTAATTAGGTGAATATATTCCAAATTACATTATGGCCACACTTGGAAGAAATGAGGAAGGTAGAGAAATGTGAATAGTCTAAGATGACTCGTTTTGAAATGCCTTAAATATTAATATTTAATGTGGACCTTTTAGAGGGGGAAAAAGTTAATCTTTGATACCAAATAATAGACTAACAACTAACACAATGTTGATTCATTTGTTCATGTATTGTCTTTGTGAGTATTGATTTTTAAAGTCTTCTCTGTTCAGACTACTGATATATATTTTTTAGGACATTTGCAAAACATTTCAGAACACCTGATATATTTTAAATTCCTTGGGTTGAGTGGCTTTTTTTGTCCAGTTTGCTTCCTTTTGCTCGGTTTGTTATGAGGCATTCAAAGTACAACATTACAGCTGAAGCCAACCCTCAGGGCCCCTATTTTTAAATATTTTGAAGTATTTTTTAAAATGTGACGATTACTTATCACACAGGAAAGAAGTGTTGAAATACTTTTGACATGCATCAAGTAAAGCATTTCTCATTTAGATTTTAATCTATTTACCTGTATTAGGAATCCCAAGCAGCACAGAGACAGATCCTCATGGAGTTCCTTAAAGAAGCAAGGAGAAACAAGAGAGAGGTACCGTTCTGAAAAATATATTGAATCCTAGGCATATATAAAAAAAATATAGAAAAAAAAAAACATCATGGACTATTAAATGTTTACATTTGCAATTTTTTTTTTCTTTAACAGCAACTCGATCAGCTACAGAAAGAGCTGAATTTCCTTGAAGAAGACATAAAACGGGTTGAGGTAAACGGAGCTTCTCCACCTTCTAAACTTAATAACACGAGCTGTATAATCATGGTGATATTATT